TTAATGAACTTGAAATTTTTTTTTTTTTTACATACAAAAATGATATATTTCATACTTAACCAAAAAATATGAGGTTAAACTAGATTAAAAAAATCTATTTGCAGTAACAGATTTCATTGGAAAATTATACTAGTTTCTTAAATGTATGCTTGAAAATATAAATGGCAACAATACAAAATCATCAAATAGCAGAAATCCAAGTTAAAACTGAAATTAATAAACTTGTCTTAGATTCAATGAATTGAAAACTTAAAAAAATGGTTGTGTTACACTCACTTAAGTTTATTGAGAACTTTATGTTTTTCTACAAAACAAATTTTAATCATGCAGGTTTTCTAGTAAGAAAATATGTTTAAATTGATTTGAATACAAATTGTGAGTTCACAAATTTGGTTGTTCCAATCCACGAACGTTCGGTAAATCAAAGCTAATTCATAAGTATAGACAATATCTACGTATAAACAAAAATGTATTCGTTATTATTCGGGTTTAATTTATTATATACATTTTAGCTAATCATCTTACCAGTTTAAACGTTTCAAAGCACAATCACAATAAGTATTCTTCTGTTTCTCAGAACTAAAATGATTTTTGTGTTTTACCAATAAATCAAGAGTTATATTTAATGCATGTTAATCGTACATTTCAGTTGAAAAAAACGATGTACTTTCTATGATTCAATAGAAAATTACACACTTAAGTAACCACACAAAACTTGGATACACGATATCAATAAATGACAATTAGGTTATACTACAAAGATTAGTGTGACAGTTGATAAACTAAAATTCCAGAGAACTTAAATAATTTTTCTTCATATCAAAGTATTATTTAAAATATTTTGATATGAAAATAAAACGGCTTCATGTTTACTAAGAAATCGCGTATCCGTAGATATCAGTCTAGGTGACAACGATGTGTCTAAAAACCATTATTTATAAATCTTATCTGACAGTAATCGTCAATAATCGCCGTGTGTCTTTACGTGACATCATAACCGCTGCAATTAACTACCTGTATTACAAGTCTACCCGTTTTATACATATATATAGGTAAAAAAAATCAAAACTTTAAAGTGAAATAACATGCAAACTAATCGACTTAAATGAAAAATTCAAACGCTAAAAATTATAAAAAAAAAAACTCTATCTATATATCTAACTAAAAATATGTTTCCATTTGAAAAAAAAAAGTTGGTACCCTTTTAAGGCATAAGGGATGAACCTAAAAATTATCTGATCATGGATAAATGTAGAGTTTTATGTAACTAAAATAATTAAAAAAAAAAATTATTAAAATAATAAATAGTTTTTGAGATATTTGCTGGTCAATGTTAAATGGATCACCCTGTATATATACGAACGTTGTCCGTGAAACATAACTTGTGCGATCGTGCCATACTGGATTACGCATTACGTTTTTCAATGTTTATATGCGTTTCGTTTCTCAACCTTAGAAAAGTCCTACCCCAACCTCCACGTAGTGCGGCCTGGGCAACGGATCCCACTCTGGGGTCCGGCTAACGGGGGAGGCCACGTCGTGTTGTTATAGACGGCATGGGCAGCCCTGAAGCAATACCTAACGATAGTTCCAGGACGGTTCACATTATGCCGGCGGTAGATAAACAAAAAAAAAAAAAGGTACTTAATTGTATCGAATTCCACATTGTCATCGATGTAATTAAGATAAGATAGGTTTATCTCTTATAATTTAAGATATAATTTATAATTTTATATGAAAAAAAAAATAACAATAATCCAAAAATATTGTAATAATGCACTCATGTCACGTATTGACTTATGTTAGGTGTTAAGACTGCCACGGACTCCCAGGGGCCCCGGACCACAGGTTAAGAACCGCTGCGTTAGAGTTAAAGTATAACTGTTACTGTAGCACATGCACGTACATGTATTGGATACTGAAAGCATGTTTCTCACCGGGATGGTTGTTAACATACAAGGTTTGATGTCTACGGATTATTCATTTTTGGTTAAAGAATTTTCCGTCATCGCCCTGGACTCTACATGTCTCTCTCACTGGGTGTTCAAACATCCTAAAACTGTAAAGAATCATAAGAAAACCACATACTGGTTAAAATAAGTACCATCATGGCTTGGACACGAACATTGGCGATGTCGAATACTCTGAACTACCGAGATAATGCAACTGTTACACTGCGAGACAATTTACGTAAAGGAAGCTATCAAAAAAAGTGTCTTTGAAAAGTATTTACTGAATCAGAATGTAATCGATATGGAAGACTTGGATTGTCCACCGTTATACAATCTATTCTGTTATACAAAACCATGCTGTGTCCGACACATGAACAACTATAAAATGTGTAGCTTGTATAAAGCATTATGCTTAAAACAATGGTTGATTTACAACTCTTATATATATAAATTAAAAAAAAAAATTGTTTGTAAAACTAATATATGTATTGTATATCACAAAAATAAATAATTATTTACACATATAAATAAGAATTTTTTAAGATTAATTATTTTCATCTTTTTTTCCACAGGCTTTGTCAATAAATATTTAACCTTTATTGAACAAAACCCAAGCCCATTTGGGAGACCATCGTACATGTACTGTCCACAGCTCGCCATCATCATCCCAATCTCTTAGTACTTGATTACACTAAAAACGACACATTCGATCATTTTGAACGTTACCTGAAATGATATTTACTATGAATTAATCAATATAGCACGAATCGATATAATTATTAGTATTCTTTCAACAAAATAATCTAAAGCTGAATATATAACTGGCATCTTGATGAATTCTCATATTATAATAATAAATTATACTATTACGTATATAAAAAAGTCCGGCTTCGAAAAGGTTTTGTACTTTTTTCATAATTTTTCTTTAGCACTTGACAAATGTTGCCATACGAGTGACATATGTACTAAACGATTAGTATGATTAGGAGTTTTAATTTGATGGACCATTTCTAGTAAATTTTCGTCTTTTATACTAGAGCATTGTTTCCCAACCTTTTTACCACCACGGTAATTCGGCAATATTTTATAGGTCGCGGACCCCCTCAATTTTACGAAAACTAGGAAGATCTTTTTTTGCTCATTAACAAAAATATTTATCAAAAAAGTTAATTTTTATTACTTTAATTTACATTTTATTTACTATACTTAATTAATATATAATTATACTTTACTATACAAAATAATATACTTAATGTGATTTTTGTGACTGCATTTCTTTGACTAGTTTTTCAATTCTCGGATGAATGTTGCTCATAGCTAAACGCATATCGTCACTTACGTTCAAACTTCTTTAAGTGGCATATCTGAACGTATTGATATAAAGACTTGTTATCTCTCAATTACTGAAGTTTTTGAGGGTCTATCGAATTTGAATATAATTATGACCGTAGGTCCGGACTTGGTTCCTGAGATTTTTCTCAAAAACTGCCGTTACTCCCTTAATTATCTAATCCATTTTCTTTTATCTTTATCTTTATCATCTGGTATTTTTCTTAAAACTTGGAAAACTAGTTATGTTTACCCTATTTTTAAGTATGGGATAAGATCTAACATACGTAATTACAGACCTAGAACTTCTAAATCTACAGTTACTAATTTACTTGTCTACTATTTTGATTTAATGTCTATTATTTCTAAAGGTGGTTAGGTAGACGCTATCTATAATGATCTTAAAAAAGAGTTTGATAGTGTTAATCATTCAATATTAATAGGTAAATTAAGTACTATGATTATATTGGTACATATAAATTTAAACATTACTTAAATAAAGTTACATAATTTAAAAGCTCTTACTTGTTGATTACGCTGTTCTTCATTAATAAATTTACTATTATACCCATCCATAACTACTTACATAATAATTTAATTGTGGTATTGAATCTTTTTCAATGAATTTTTTGATAAATATTTTAATAATTACGTAACTATAACAATTTGTTAATTTGAAAAACATGAATAATATTGTACAATTTAAACTTACAAAATACATTAAATAAATATAGTTTAAAAAACACTTTTCTAAAGCACATCGAATTAAAGAGTTAAAAATAATTTTTAAAATAATCTTAAAACAATTATGAACGAAAAATACTAGTATTATTGTGATAATAGTAACTACTATCATAACATGAAACTAAAAAGTTTCGCCAAAATTACTCCTTCGTTGACTGGCCTAATTGGGCAAAATTAAAATAATCTTTGTATAATATCGCGGCACTTTCGTAGGCGTCGGAGACGCAGTTTCCGGCAAGATTCTCGGGCGTCGAAAAGTTAGCAGCGTTAATGGCGACGGTACGCGGATGCGGATCGGTTCGGTCGTGCGGCACTTGCTGGACTTTACACCATGGCGTATGGTCACTTATACTAATAGCAAATACATTTTTTTTTAAATATTTGAGTTTTATTTAAAATACTTTTTTTGGCTGTAGTAATTTATCTATTTTACCTATTATTTTATCTATTATGTCTGTTCAATTCTTTAATTATTAAGAAAATCCTTAATAATACTTAAAATAATCAATAAAAAAAAACTATTTTAGTGTCATAAATTGTTAATCATTAGCAAATATATATCTATTCATTACTTACACTTAAAAGTTTCCTTACATTAGAGTTGGACCTGGTATCAATAGTAAAACTTTTATTGCCACAACAACACAAAACTTTAACTTCAAGTTTTTTAAAAAATATGTTATCTTCTTCGACTTGCAGAATTTTAAAATATTTTGCATAGCTTTGCCAAGGAAATTCGTTTGAAAATGACATTTTAAGTTCATAAAAGAGTTTTTAGTCACGCAAATAAGACACATACACCCGCCGCAAGTAAAAACTGATAGCATAATAACATTCAAGCAGTCCATATAGACGAACGATAAAAATAACTTGTTTAAATAAGCCCACAGTATCTGTGACATGATCGATAAATGAATTCCAAGAAATTATTACTATTACCTTAAAATTTCCGATAACCAAGTTTAATGTTTGATATACGTGTAAAAACCTGTAAAGTATGTCTTGTTGACAATAGAGTAAATCATTTGAACCTGCAATAGGCTATTGTAGGTTTAACTGATGTATTAAAAATAGATGTATACATGATAGCATTTAGATAAGCACAATAATTATGTAATACTATAATGTTAACAGAGAATTATTCTCAATTTTCATTTTGACTGAGTTTAATTTGCTTGCTGTGTTACGGATAGCAAATTAAAAAAAAAAAAAGTATGTTAATAGTACTGAATATTAAACAGTATTAAATACTAAATAATTGTATTTAAAATACTACTCAGATACTTTTTATTAAATGTATTTAAAAATATTATTCAATACCAATGAAAGTATTTGAATACTTTTATTCAAATATATTTACTTAAAATACTTTACGCCTTTGCTATTAGTATAATAGCCCCGACCGAACCGATCCGCATCCGCGTACCGTCGCCATTAACGCTGCTAACTTTTCGACGCCCGAGAATCTTGCCGGAAACTGCGTCTCCGACGCCTACGAAAGTGCCGCGATATTATACAAAGATTATTTTAATTTTGCCCAATTAGGCCAGTCAACGAAGGAGTAATTTTGGCGAAACTTTTTAGTTTCATGTTATGATAGTAGTTACTATTATCACAATAATACTAGTATTTTTCGTTCATAATTGTTTTAAGATTATTTTAAAAATTATTTTTAACTCTTTAATTCGATGTGCTTTAGAAAAGTGTTTTTTAAACTATATTTATTTAATGTATTTTGTAAGTTTAAATTGTACAATATTATTCATGTTTTTCAAATTAACAAATTGTTATAGTTACGTAATTATTAAAATATTTATCAAAAAATTCATTGAAAAAGATTCAATACCACAATTAAATTATTATGTAAGTAGTTATGGATGGGTATAATAGTAAATTTATTAATGAAGAACAGCGTAATCAACAAGTAAGAGCTTTTAAATTATGTAACTTTATTTAAGTAATGTTTAAATTTATATGTACCAATATAAATATAATTTTGATTTAGTTGTTAAGAATGATAAAATTTATGGAACATGAAGCAATTGAAATAGCTCAGTCTATTAATGATTTAGCTGAAGAGGAATATCACATTCAAAAGGGTGATCTAATACACAAAGGTAGAGCTGCGATTAATCAGTTTTACAAAAAAAAAATGAAACGTACAGAAAGAGAAAAAGCAACGTAGGTTTTATTTTCAATATTTTTAACCGTGGCGACGATGTCAAATTTTATATGATATATGATAAAGAAAATTCATTGGGTTATCATTTCCTCCGAATTACTGTTCTCATCTTTTACCCATTAAAATTTATCAATTTTTCTGTTCCACTTTCTTCAGAGTGGTTATTCTGTTATACACATTATGTAAAAATGTTTAAGCAGATGACTATATCCTGTTAGTAGTCCAGTCAGAGAGCTTATTTGATATCAATTCATGTTATTAAGATGACTAGATATCAAAAAAATTAGTAGACTGTCTGGGTACCACATGGTAACTGAATATTTTCCTGTGATGCTTCCTATTTCAAGTTTTTGGATGGTACTTTGCGGAATTGCTTCGTGTATCCTACCACTAGTTCTGGTTCAACATTATAGTTATTTGCAAATCATTTTATTTACAGCATGCTAGTGTAACGTGATAGTGATTTTAAAGTTTCCCTGTATTTAAAAACTAGCCTTGAAGTCTTCTGTTTGTTACTAAGTGCATTTAAAACAATTTGGTTATTAATTATTATATTTATATAATCATTAAGATAGTGATGACGTCACTAGGTGATTAGGTCACTAGGGGTATATAAGGGAGTTTTTTCTAGTCGGGGTGTCAGTATGTGTTTAGCGTTGATAATGGTAACATTGTTTCCGAAATACGTATCCGCGACTTTT